AATCAATCACAACTGTCCTTTATAAGAAAGAGAGAGCTCATGATTTGACGTACATACAGACAGAAGAGGAGAAGGCAATGCGACCACGGAGGTGATGCAGCCACAAGCCAAGGTATGCCAGCAGCCCCAGGATCGGGAAGAGGCAAGGCAGATTCTCCCTTAGACTCTCGGGAGGGAGTGTGGCCCTGTCCACCTTGATTTTGAGCCAGAGGTCTGATTTCAGGCTTCTGGCCTCCGGAACAGTGAGAGAATGCATTTTTGTTGTTTTACGTCACTCAGTGATAATTAGTTACAGCAGCCGCAGGAAACTAATCTAGGTTCCCGCTGGTCTCAAATGCATATCCTGTGACCTGTGCTGTAGGTGACACCATATGAAGGGGTCCTTTTCTGCTAGTTAAGTATTATCAAGCTAAAAAGAAACTTTTCTTACATGACTGGAAAGTTACACTTGAGAAACTAGAGTGTGAGAGGCACAGAAAGAGGGCAATATACTTCACTATTCATTTATTTAATAAACGTTCTTTAAGTTCTTGCTATGTATTAGTCTTTGTCCGAGATCCTGGATTAAAATTGAATAAGGCAGGATCTTTGTTCTTGAGGAGATCAGTAGATGAGGAGAAGTAGACGCACATATACATACAACTAAATTACTCTGTGAAAAATGCAGTAATGATAGTAAAAATGAGGGAGGGTCCTTATGACTTCAAACCTAAGGTCTAGAAATCATCTCTCTCTCTCTCTCTCTCTCTCTCTCTCTCTCTCTCTCTCCCCACCCCCCCAGAGTGAGTGTGCCCCCAAAAATGTATATACACTTTGAGTAATTATAAAGATACTGTTAAAATACATTTCATTTTTAAAGTGTAATAGAATCTACAGACATTGTGTATACATTTTTGGGGGACACTGTGTATGTATGTATGTATGTGTATATATATATATGTATATATCTGTGTGTATATGTATATATCTGTGTGTGTATATATATATATATATATATATATATATATATATATATATCCCTCAGAGACCTAGCCTTTCCCTGGGTAATCAGCAACTACCCCCCCCCCACTCCATCCCCAGCAGAAGACAATAACTGGTACCTAGACTAATGGCCGTTTAGTCCAGATCATTGGCAGGCTAAAGATAACATCTTGGCCTAACTTATGTTTCAACTACTAGGCCCTAATGTGGAATGATGGCATGGCTACTTTCTCAGGATGTGGGGCAGAGGGACCCAGAAAAGACCTCAGAATTGTCTCCAAGATCTGAAGAGATGATTATTACACTTTTATGTCACCTCTGACCAATCAGCTCCCATCACAACCCTGAAACCTTTGTGATTTTGTGTCTTGTGATTTTGCCCTATATAATCTGTAACCTACACACCATCCATCTGGTAGTTTGGGCTTTGGAATGTTAGCCTCCAGCTCTCCTGAGTATCACCATCTATATTAATATCTATATTAATACAAGGGTAATATGCTAATTAGACCAGACATCTTCTGGACGTCCTTCCAGACAAAGCCACGGTGGCTGGGGCCAAGGCAGAGGCGGTTAGGGGTAATCAGGCTGGCAGGGAGAGCAGTTAGGGGTTATCAGGCTGGTAGGAGGGAGCAGTCAGGGGGCAATCAGGCCAGCAGGGGGAAGCAGTTAGGGGGCGATCAGGCTGACAGGCAGAGGTGGTTAGGGGCAGTCAGGCAGGCAGGCAGGCAAACGGTTAGGAGCCAGTAGTCTCAGATTGCAAGAAGGATGTCCGACTGCCGGTTAGGCCCAATCCAGATCGGGCCTAAACTGGCAGTTGGACATCTCCCAAGGGGTCCTGGATTGGAGAGGGTGCAGGCCAGGCTGAGGGGCCCCCTCCCCCAACCTCAGTGAATTTCATGCACTGAGCCTCTAGTTCATAATGAAATAGCCAATATTTCTCCACTGCATTTCTTAATGTTCGGTGTGTGGCTCTGCTGGCTCCAGGCGGAGGAACTCTTTCTCTTCTGTAGTAATCATGTGTGTAGTGTCTTTTGGACATACTGAAGAATGCAGGGCTGACAGGAAGGGTCTGTGTGAGATTGAGGAGAGGTGGGTTAGAAAAAGCTTCATGAGAAAGAGATGTTTCTGAGCTGACAAATAAAGAAGCAGAATAATAAAAGCAGACAAACATTTATCATTTTTTTTCTCGTGGATTTCATGTGTTGAAGGACACTGTCTACCAAAAACAGAAAGCTTCTGTTTATTAAACGATAAACAATAGATTAAGAACATCTCTCACTGCCAGAGTTGATCAGCAGCTTAGGATGATTACTATTCTCTTACCATTATTTCAACCAAGAGAAAGGTATTTGTCATTTGATTTTTTTTTCCTACGAAGTCTTTTCGGGACAAAAGTGTGATATTTTTCATTATGCGTTTTGGAATACTGGTATAGCTGCAGAGTTCTCTCCTCATTGCGTTCAAGAACAGCCCTTCCCATCTTGGGGAAGACAGTATTAACTACTTGCACTATACTATCTGGCCTACAGAACATTATATAGAAAAGAAACTCAATAATGGGAGTTCCTATATAATAAGGCAATAGCTCTGTCTCCTGGGGATACCTTCCAGTATTGTATCCTTGTAAGGCAACCGAAACAGTCGGATCCTGGGCCCCTCTTACTGGCCTCCTATAAAATAATAGTAATACGTATAACTAATCAACATTTGTTTAGCATTCTGTCATTTGACAAAAGGGTTTCACAAAAGTATCTGTTTTGGGGTTGTTTGAGATATAAGCAGATACTGTTTTATCCTTTCAGGCAAGTGACTTTCTCTTTTTATTTATTTTTTCATCTTTATTGCAATATTATTATTCCAGTGAACATAATATTTTTTCCAGCTTTATTGAGATTATTGACATGCAACATTGTGCTGCTCGATACACATATTTTGTGATATGGTTGCCATCCTAGCTTTAGTTAACACTTCCATCATCTCACATTGTCACCATTGCTTTTTTGTGATGAGAACATGTAGGACCTACTTACTCTCTTCACAATTTTCAAGTATATAATACAGTTAACTATAATCACCATGCTGTACATTAGATTTCCTGAACTTCTTCATTTTATAACTGGAAGTTTGTACCTTTTGACCAACATCTCCCCTTTTCCCTACCTCCTCAAGAAAGTTTCTTAATCTCTTTTAGCTTCAGTTTCCTTACCTTTAAAGCGGTACCATTGACATCCACGTGGCTATTGTGAGAATTAAGTGAGATTTTGTATATGAAGTAACAAGGACAGGGCCTGACACTTTGTATACAGTAAGAACTAGATTCTTTTATTTCCTTTATCCTGGAAGTAGGTGACATTTTAAAATCGTCTTTTATTCTATTCTTCAATTGCTTCACTCCTCTCAACTCATGACAAGAACCAACCCATTTTGTAGACCCTCCCACCTCCTGTCTATTGAAATTACAGCCCTGAATGGTTACTTAGGGGTGCAATTTGAGGAGCACCAGTGTGTCCCAGAATTTCCTCCAGTGGTGATACCTCTTGGGTTCTCTGTGTGCTCTTTTTCTGGCCCTTGAGGTATCACATGCTTAATAAGAGCAGAATGCTATTTACAAATAATATACTCTCTTACTCCAGAAAGATTTGAGGCAGTTTTCAGGATTTAATCAGGTGTGACACAAGAAAGCCATATATCAAAAAGAGAGGACAGACCATTAGAAAGAGAACTTGGTAAAATGTAACTAGGATTTGATATGGATCATTCAAGTTTTGAATTAAATCAGTCATTAATCAGTTCATGGAATTAAAGGAGATAAGCACAATGCATTTGGCAAAGGAAGTATGATTTTGTGAACTTTTAGTTTCAATTTTATATTATGTATGTGTTATAAAATGTATTTTGTTTAAAAAGAGAAAAAAGCTTGAAAGCCATGGGATTAGGCTACAAATGATTTACTCTTTCCACCACTTGTTAGTTTTCCATGTTGGCAAGTTCCCTAAGTAACGAACATTTATTGAACACTTATTTTTCACCAAGTATTCTTCTACATGAATACCTTTTTCCTCTTCCCTAACACTAATACTCCTTAACACTGATATGCAGTGTAAGACAGATACCCTGTGTCAATCCACACTCTTCTCACCACTCACCGGGGCGGCCGCTGTCTGATACAAGTTTGAGAGGATTCCTGTTACTAAAGAAACTCTGATACTAGGTAGTGAAATGTAAATTCCTGAATAGAGTAAATCTGAGCTTCCCTAAAGCCCCTGGAGAATCACATCCGCTTTAACCATCCATCCTCTGATCTTTTCTTTTCAGTTCAGAATTTTCTTAAAAGCTTTGCATCAGTGTGGGTTGGAGTAGGGATGGAGGACAAAGAAGAGGAGGGTGGAGGGAGGCTTTAGGTGTGAGTTGCTGAGCGTGGGCAGGAGAAGGGGGACGCTAGTACACAAAAGGCTATTTCCGGCCTTCATGTGGCTACCAAGGCTCTTTGAGTTGAACTTTTTTGGAAAACGACCTGTCAAAAAGAAGTAGGTGTGTGTGCAGGAGAAGGCAGGCCAGGTCCCCGCGTTAAGTAGGAGTATCTTTCTCCGCATCTTGTCTTTCCGAGCTGGGCAGGCTGGGCTGCGGGCCGCCTCCCAGCTCCCAGCTCCCAGCTCCCAGCTCCCAGCTCCCAGCTCCCAGCTCCCAGCCGGGACATCCTGAGCAGCAGCAGCCACAACCACAACAACGGGCTCGCCCCAGACAAAGGGGCCGGGCGGCGCAGCTGGGGCCGCGGGCCGGGGACGGGGCCGCCGAGTGGCCCGCGCAGACCCGCTGCGTCTGGAGCCGGAGCCGCGGCGCCCGGAAGACCCGGCTCACTCGGGGCGCAGAACCCCGGCCCGGGCTGGCTTCGCGCCCGGCCTCGCGGTTCCACTCGGTCTATGACCAACGCCCTCCCGCCTCCCGGCCCGGCCCGCCCCCCGCCCGCGCTCCTGTACCCAAGGGCCCCCGGCCGCCGCCGCTCCTTCCCGGGCCGGCGGGCGGCGAGCTGGGGCGCAGCGGGGCGGCATGGCTGTGTCCTGGAGGAGCTGGCTGGACAACGAAGGGGTTAAACACCTCTGCCTGGTAGGATGGCGGGCAGGCTGTCCCCGCGTTTGGTCTCTCCTGGAGAGAGATTTTGATTCATTCTCCGAGCGTGCGCGGGTGGGAGGCTGGAAGTGGAAGTTTTGCCTCGAATTCGAACATTCTCAACTCAGAAAACTTCCCGTGGTTACTACCCGGAGATCATAAAGATACCACCCTTTCTGCAAAAGCCAGAGACCTTTCCTCTGCCCCGAGGGGTGAGCGGCTGTGGAGGAAGGGAGAAGGGATCACTGTAATGAACTCGGCTTTTTCTTAACCCTTTAAACATCGTCCCTTCTTTGCTCTCTGCCCAGAATGCTTCCGCTTGATGGTGTATTTTAACAATACACATCGCTGGGGACCAGGTGCTATCACTCATTTCTGAGTCCCGTGTTTGCCCTGCAAGCAAGGGATGTCTGCAGATCATCCAGGAGACCTGTTGACAGCCCAAATGCTTCCTCTTGGGTGCAGGGGCTGAGTGAGGTCAGCTGTGTTTTTCTTGGAGTGGTTTTCAGATTGCTTTCCGCTGTTACTAATTGAGGTTCCATTGAAAGTATTGTGTCCAAGGAATGTACTTCAGGTTTCCATTCATCAGGTCATGTTTATGTTTACTTTTTGTTTTCTCTCTCCTTTTGTGTGATTTAGCTGATCTGGCTGGCCCTGAACGTCCTGCTTTTCTGGAAAACCTTCCTGCAGTATAACCAAGGGCCAGAGTACCACTACCTCCACCAGATGTTGGGGGTAAGTGGGAGTGGTGCAATGCATTCAATGGAGGCAGACCTTGCTGCAGTCCTTCATCAGTTCTTCCATTCATTAAAGAAACATTGGTTGTTCACTGTGAAATATTTGTTAATCTCTCAAGTGGGTCAAATTTTCTTGATTTATCATTTATACTTTTCTGGGTTAAAATGACTGACTCTTTTAAGTACCAAAGATAACGTCTGCTGGAGTGAAGTGGAGGAAACTGTCAGAGGAGGCTGGTAGTGCCTAAGAAAAGTCGCTTCTTCTTGTCAGCTAGCTGCAAAATGCCCTGAAATATCTGCGTGGCCAGAAGGACCAACCGATGACAGGCTTTTACTTTTCACTCATCAAGACTTCAGCCTGCCCGTAAGCTCATGCAGAGGATTTCTGTAGTCTTTCCTTTCTAGGTCTAGCAAAGTATGTGTCAGAGGCAGTATTCATTGACACTGAGAAGCGGGTGATTCTTAGTAGTTGTTTGAAGTCTCTGCTTTCCATTGCAAAACTATTTATTCAGCAGTTTATTTAAACCGATGATAAACCGGGCACTTTGTTACTTTATAAATATTTAGTTTAAGCCAGGAAACTATTCTTCCCATTTTACACATGGAGCAATACAGGCTACGGAAACAGAATGGCTTGCTCAAGTCCCTCAGATTTGAACACACTGCTGTCTGGTCTTTTGCTTCTTTCTCATATTACACAGATTTTCTAAACCACTTCACTGGCCCATCTCAGATACTTATGCCACTGGTTAGTATTTATTCATTATTTGTGCTGCCCAGTAGAAATATAGCATGAGTCATAAGTAACTTAAGATTTCCTAGTAGTACGTTTAAAAGAAGCCAGTGGCATTAACTTTAAGAATATATTTTATTTCTAATAATATATCCAAAGTAGTATAATAGATTGAAGTACTCAATATGTGATCAATATTTGAAAAAAATTATTAATATTATTTTTGTTTGTTAATTCTTTGAAATATAGCTTTACACATATGCCCGTCACAGTTCAGTCAGTAAGTTTTCATCAGAAATACTTGACCGATGTTTAGAAATCAGAAACTTTTACAGATGTTATAGTGGATTCCCATATTCAAGTTGTTCTAGACATATTTAAAGCTTTTCCAATAACACAAATGATTATCAGCTTTTAAATTTTAATTTATGTTAATAACATTTATAAAATTAAAAATTTAGTTCCTTGATGGCTCTACACATATTTTACATGCTCAACAGCCATCTATGGCTAGTGGCCACCATTTTGGGCAGCACAGTGTAGACTATGGGGAAGATATTCTCACCCTCATGGCCATATGCACTTATTCTGCTTGAAAGCAAGCACCAAGCCAAAACTCAGTTCAATAAAAAGACATCAGAATATAGGTAGTCCTCTTGCTCACCCTCTTCAAAATAGGAGCTGATATTGGAGGGTAAGTTGTGGGCTTTAGTTATTGATATGTAACTGTAAAAACATCTCTGACTTTTCCCTAATCTGGTGATGGGAGCCTTTGAGAATGAATGTAAAGGTATTTAATTTTCAGAACTGAGATAGCCATTTTTATTACTAGTAGGCTAAGAGACTGTTCTCACCAAAATTAAAGAGTAAGAACTGACAAGGAGTCCAGCTGGTGTGGTTCAGTGCTTGATTGTTGACCTATGAACCCAGAGGTCATTGTTTGATTCCTGGTCAGGGCATATGTCTGGGTTGCAGGCTCAGTCCCTGGTGTAGGGTGTGCAGGAGGCAGCTGATCAATGATTCTCTCTCATCATTGATGTTTCTATATCTCCCTCTCCCTTCCTCCCTGAAATCAATACAAATATATTAAAAAAAAAAAAGAACTGACAGGGAAAAGAAGATCTTAAATGATGGAAGATAAAATAATATTGGAATTAGTATGTTAAGTTTCATCATGATTGTTCTTTCCAAGACTGATTTGACCCAGTCCTGGAGGCAGCATGGTCACGGCTGGTTTATGCCTGAGTTAATGTGCTAATCAGACTGTGTACTTTCTAGAAGATGTTTAATTATGACATGCTGTGAATATTGGAATCTTAGAATTATGTAAGAGGGAAAAACAATCCTTTGAAGAAAGCCAAAGCAACATTCAAACAAATGAACAAACCAAACAGTAACTTCCTCCATCTTCCTATAGCAACTATTTTAAAAATTCCATTTACTGGGGTAACATTACTTTTTAAATAAAGGACTCCATTAATTACTTAAGATTAAATCTGTTTTTGCGATTTATTTATTTTCAAGTGTTGGAAAATGTAGTTGCTCGTACTTTAATGGAAGAACTAATGTGTTGTGACCAACTCTAAAAAATTAATTTGTTAAATTTTTTGAAATGTCAAAGCAATTTAACTGAGAATACTATTTATAGAAACCTTCACATTTATAGTCACCTATTTGAGTTGTATTTCTGACACTTTAACAATTAGAGGATATCACTTAATTGATATAAACATTTTAATTGGAGAAGAGAATGAGTTTAATGATACCAGATTCAATGTGTCTTGGTTTTATATCTTTCCCCCAAAACTAACATATGTATATGGACTGTTCACTTTTAACCTACTTATTCTTATAATGCCATAATGAGAATGTAAATTGTTTTTGCTTTGCCTTGCAATTATTATTTTAGATCTTCTACATGGTCATGGTCATGAAGATCGTTTTTTAAAGATCATTTTTTTAAAGCTCTTATTGAGATACCTATGTTAATTAGAAGAATGTCTCGAGCATTGAGTGTTTTGTTTTGTTTTTCTGATTTCACAATGATGATCTTTCTTTGGTCAATCATTATCCTTTAAGTGACTTAGAAACATTAACTAATTTACCCTCTCAAGAGACCTAGAAGTTATATCATAATTAACATATTTCAGAGACAGAAATCTGATGTCATGTAAGTTTCTTAAGGTCAGAGAATGGAGTCTAAGGACCAATGGACCTAGGATTTTAAGTCAGTATTCTTTTCAGTGCTAGCCTAGGCAGCTTGAATTCTGCTGAGAAGGAATATATGCCTCCTATCAATTTCAGAAAAGGCTTGATCATTAACTTTCCCCTCTTTATTGCACAGAATACTGTACTGTGGTTTCAATTTGGGATATTTTTAACAGTGTATTTTTTGTTTCCTTTTATTTTTTAATATTCTATTTGAAAATAATTTACTTCCTATTTATTGACAGGCAAAATAGGTTGTATTACTTTGATGCCATCATTATATTCTTAATCTGTTTAAAATAGAGACTTGCCCTAACCGGTTTGGCTCAGTGGATAGAGCGTCAGCCTGCGGACTCAAGGGTCACAGGTTCAATTCAGGTCAAGGGCATGTACCTTGGTTGCAGGCACATCCCCAGTAGGGGGTGTGCAGGAGGCAGCTGATCGATGTTTCTAATTCTCTATCCCTCTACCTTCCTCTCTGTAAAAATATCAATAAAATATATTTTTTAAAATAGAGACTCATAGACTTTTAGATTTAGAAGAGAGCTTTAATATCTTAGATTTCTTCCTCAGTTTCCCAAATAGAAAAATGAGGTTGAAGTGATTTGCTCACTATCAGCCACTCAATTAGTGGGTTTGTTACCATTCTGATCTGTTCATCCTGTCAGTCCAATACTGTCTCTTAGAATGAACAACTCTATGAACCTGTGCAAGAACCTATTAAACTCTATATATAATAGACCTCTAGCTTTTCATCTTATGTGAAATGATATTTAAAGACGTTTAGTAATTTAAGAAGTTAAGGAAAAGTACTAATTTATCCCCAACATAACATATTTTCAGTATTCCAGTTGCTTCAGACTTTTCTCAAATTGTTAAAGAAATATGAGACATTTTAATTTAAGTAATTCCTGATTGTACAGTATTTTAGCACTTAATGTTTAACCTCTTTGTTTTATACAGCTAAATGGCCCTGTATAATCCTCTTTAATCAACACCATCCAAAACAGCATAGAATTGGGTGTTGGAGTTAAGTTCAGAGATTTTCAAATGTACCTTCTTCATTTCATTATTAATAATATCAATAACATTACATTTATTGGGAACTAAGTATCAGGCATTAATCTAAAAGTTTTGTGTTGATTAATTTATTTAATCTTTCACCCATCCTATGGAGTAGATATTTAAATCTTGCAGCTAAGGAACTGAATTAGAAAAATTCTGTGACTTGCTAGTGAGTCACAGAGGTAGGACTCTAGCTCAAACATCCCGGTTCTTAACCACTGTGCTCTCAGCCTCTTTGCAACAATAAGCTAAGCCATGTGGAATTGCCATTTGATAGAACAAAAATAACCAAGTATCAGCCATTTCAAGTGGTTCAACCTAATTATAAGTATTACAATTTATTAATCACATTCTATGTGCCATAATTCTTTGTTGTCTTTTTCTCATCTAACATTTTAGTTTTTTAAGGAATCTCTATACTGTTTTCCATAGTGACTGCACCAATTTGCATTCCCACCAACAGTGCACAGGAGTTCTATTTTTATTCTTAAGCTTGAGACAGACTTGTACAGTTAGCAGGTATCCTGATACCTATTGCATTAATTTGCTGATGCTTCCATAACTACTAGTAAGTACTACAGTCTAGGTGGCTCAAATAACAGAAATTTATTTCCTCACAGTTCTGGAGGCTGCATATTATATGCTTTCCCCTGGGGAACACCTAGTCTAAGGGAGAGGAGCTTGCTGACTTTCAGAATGTTATAGGGACCTTGGGGATTGTTCTAGTTCATTTCTCATTTGACAGATCAACTTGGTATAGTTAAATGTCTTCTTTATTGACTCACTGGAAAGTTCAATGTGGTTGGTAGGTCTTCTATCTCTAGTCAGTGTTTCTAGTTCATCATACTAAGCAGTTCATTGATCACAAAATTGATTTTTAAAGTGCCCAGGTAATTCTGGGCAAGAAAATCAAACAACTCTAATTCCTTTCTGACAAGATCATGGGCTTTGGAACTACATGGGAGTTTGAATCTTGGCTCAGGCATTTATCT